CAGCAGAACCCCCTGGCTTGTGTCCTGATGAGAGGCTAACAGTAACTGCTGCTTTTTAACAAGAGAATGGGCTTCACCCCCACAGATTATTCCAAGCTTCCTGCCTTGAGCACTTATGCTTCCTAGTGCATGCAAGCGTGTGCTGCATTGCCCGACAAGTAGGCATTGAGTCAGCATTGAGTCCTTGCAGCTCTTACAAGTGTTAAGCATTCACACAATGTAGAAAACTGCTGTTTGCAAATTGTCCTATCAAATGGAAATCAAAATTTCCCTGGCAGTGACAGAGACTTGCACGTTGCTCTTGTTACGATTGTGCCCTGGAGACAGCAATGTAAAAATAAAGAATACAGCTTTACAACAGCCTAAAATCCTTGTTGTTGCTGAATCTACACCCTTTCTATGCTGATGACTTCATTAGGATATACTTGACCTTCATTAAGAGGCTGCCTTGCAGCGTTCTCTCTGATCGTAGCCCTGCAAGGAGCGCGTAGGGGGTGCGTTTGAGATCCAGCACATCCGCTTCCCAGGACGCGCAGTGGGAAGCGAGTTCTCCGGAAGCAAGAATCGGTCTCTGGCGGGCGGTTTTTCTGTAGCTCAAAACCACAACTTAATTGGCAGCCTTTTCATAAGACTGACTGAGGCCTAGGATGTAGGGAGTGCTGCAGGCCAAGACAGGTACGTTTTCAGAAATGATGGTACAGAAATTTAGTGATGATTCTTGAACCTGTTCAGTGATCTTATAAAGGAGGTGATTGCAGTAAGTTCTTTTTTCTTTTTCTTTCTTTCCTTTTTTTCTTTCTTTCTTTTTTCTTTCTTTTTTTTTTTTTTCTTCTTCCAGGCAGTTTCTGTTACCTTCCTGCATATTTTGGTTGCACTTTACTCCATATATAACACCTGACTAAAAGCACAATAACATATTTATATTAGCAATACCACTTATTTAAACTTCCCCTCCTCCATGACTCTTTGAGGTTCATTCAGTAAGGCTTTGGAATGCACTTGATTTACATTAAATCTTAATTACTGTGTATCTTTCCCATATATATATATATGTATATATACACACACATATATATATATCTTGTAAGCTGGTAGATAGGTTTCTGCTTCCAGAAGGGCATGGTGCTGCCCCTGCAGTGCTGAGTAAAGTGTTTTATATCTGCTTAGGGTGAAAGACTAGGGAAGGCAGGAAAATTTTCACGTGGGTAAAATTATAAACTGTGATACTCGAAAGAGTATCTCGTGTCTCCACCTGCACAAGGAGTCGTGAAGAGACAGGCAGAGGAGCTGCGTGCCCACGACTTTGAAGGTTTTCAAGAATTTTCTTACTCAGGCATATAATTAAGACTGTCTTTGCCAGTATTAAAAAGCGACCTCAAAGTCAACTGCATTTCTTTTAAACTACGTAGTATTTGAGGAAAAATCTTTTTTAAACAAAAAGAAATTAGATTTGTAATCTTGTAGCAGAAACTGTGGCTTCACTGCACTATATTAAACCTCTATCCTCTGGCTGGCACTTACAGATATCTGTTGTGCTGGTGCATGCAGGTTGATTATGCTCAGCATCTTTTTTAATTATTGTTGTTATTTTTTTCAAAATATTGGTTGTGTTTGAACTAGTCTGTCTGGCTTGGAAGCTGATATATCTCCCTTGTGAGAACCCGGCATGAGGAAAGCTCTGTCCCCGGTTGCATGCCCAGAAATGACACTGGGATGCAGGCACTCAAAACTCTTATTCCCCAGTCCCTTCCAGCCTGGAAAGCCAGATACTGCTCTTAAGCTGGCATGATGGGAGTTGGGAATCTAGCTCTATGAGAACACACCTCGTTGACTCAGTGGGGTCAAAAAATATATTTGAGGATAGACATAATTAATATTGAATTTCATACTGCCCTCCCTTGAGAACTTTTTTTTTGCTAAATTGGTGAGGGACTTGGAGGCTCTTGTGCCTGATATGCAAAGCAGGAATTTAAGAGAAGAGGTAAAAATGTAGAGTGAGTTGTTGACTCTCCTGCTGTCAGGAATAAGCATCTTGAGCGTGTGTCCATGGAAAGGCTGCCCTCTCTGAAAGGCTTCTGCAGACACTGAGTGGCTGTGGGCAGCCTGCTAAATGAAGCCTCGGTGCCTCTGCATGTGGAGAAACAGTGATGGGAAAAGGAGGGTGTTGGAATGGGCTGGAGTATTAAAGCAAGCAATGAAAGCAGATGGCTTGCTTTGGATGTGATGAAATAGGTTTCTCTTTATTTTGTTTAAATGGGAACTATCAACTGTCAGCGTTGCAGACCTGTTTTCAGCAATGCCTTAAGTATTAAAAGTGCTGTTGTCCCTGAGTCATAAAAAGGCAGAGGGTTTTAGTGCTGCTTCCCCTCTTCGTGTTTCTAGAATGGTGTATGCCCTGTGTACATTAGATGTGAGCAATTTCATCACAACCTTTCCTTAAAAATGATTGCTGTTCACTTGTCTCTCTTCCTGCTCCCTCTCCCTTGTCAACTAGTTACATCTCTGGCTCTTGTTACATTTAATATTGATGCTGCTTCAATTTTTCACTAAACTGGAAGTGTTTAAGGGCTTGGTGTGGATACTGAATGTCTAGATATATTCCTTAATTCTTATCATCATGAAAAAGCTTGGAGTTGGATTACTGCCCTTAGGAAAAGGGACTCTTTGCTCATTCAGTGATGAAGTCTGGTCATCAAGATGTTGGAATATGTGCTGCAGAACTCTTCAGATCCTGACATGAGTGCAAAAGTTGTTGCCAGCAGCTGTCTTAGGTTTTGGGCACCTGCTGCTTCCCCTTTCGCACATCTCCCACTCTCTCTTCCACTCCCGATGTTGGCAGTGCCTCTGAAAATTTCAGTGCCTCTGAAAATTTCGGATGCGTTACATGCATAGATCCCTGTGTAACCAGTGTTACCCTAATGGACAGTGTCTTTGTCCATGTGAATGCCTAGAATAGGGCTGGCAGGTTTGGCCTCAGAGCCAGCCTGAGTAAAGAATAACAAAAACAATAACAAAAAATATTAGTTGGGTACTTTTGTTTCTTTTATTATTAGTCAAAAGTGGTGAGTACGGATATATTAAGATCTTGGCATAGACTTAGTAGGCAGCAAAACTTAACCCAGCAGCCCTTCTGAGTTTTCATTTTTATTATTATATTTACTCTTTGCACTCTAAATACAATTATTTTTCCTGACACAGGAATATATCCTACTGCATTTAAATGGGTTTTAATTTTCCTGATTCCGTTCAGTGGAGTATATCCATCTATTTGAGAGTAATAAGGTTTTTTCCCCATCATGAAATGTGACAAAGCCCTTGGCAGTACCTTCCAAATAGATGCCCTGTGTTAGCAACAGTATTTTCTCTCTTTAGCCTGTAATTCTGCTCTTAGGGCTTGTGTCCTGCCCTGATGTAAGGGGCAGGTTCCTGGCGACAGGGCAGCTTTGTCCTTGCCCAGCAGCTCTGCGCTGGCCCCAGTTGTTCCTTTGCCATGCAAAGTTTCTCTGCTGGGAATGGGACAGTTAGCGGCTTAGGTTGCCCTGAGGGTGTTGGATACGAAATCAGTGAAGAGCTCCTCTGTGTGTGACCCATCTGCTCTAATAATGATAGCCACCCTGAAGAGCCCTGTGTGCCCCCTGCCTGTCTGTTGAGGATGGGCAGCCTGGCAGCTGATAAAATGTGAAGACGACAAAACTAAGCGCGTGGTCCTGACTGTGCAAGTCATGAGGAAGGAAAGCTGTTGAGGTGGGGCTGAGGATGGCGGTGGCAGTGGTTCTGCCTTGCCCTGCCTGGCCAGCAGCTCCATGCTGCTGCATGAAGCCTGGCTGCAGAGAGGGGCAGTGGCCTCCCCTCCTGTCCACAGACCTTGGGTTCCTCGTCCCTTGGCGGCCGCAGTGGATGCGGGTGGGCGGCACATAGCTGATGCCGCATCAACCCCCGGTTACCTGCGGGAGCTGCTGTGCACCGTAAAAACAACAGCAGATCCCCACAAACACGTTGCTCTCCTCTCTCTGTGCCCTCTAGCACTGAGCTATGGCTGAGACGAAGAAAGTTCCTCCCACCCTGTCAGCCCCCCCAAATAAATAATCTTGAAAAAAACCCCAGCCTTCCTGTGAAGTTTCTGCTTGGCAGTGGTGCTGCTGATTGAATGTGGCCCCAAGAGGCAGGGGAGGCTCGCAGGCCGTGACAGCAAATGAGTCTTGTGGCTGCCTCCTGACGCCTTGGCTTCAGGAGGCGGTGGGTGTGGGCGCAAAGCGTTCATCATCTTGGACCTGCTCTGCTGCTGCAGGCTTCCTGCGCCAGTACAAGGTAGTAATAAGTAAATAAGAGGTGATACTGCAGCCTGCTTGATCTGCTTGTCTTCGCCCTGAAGCCCTTAAATTGGCTTGCTGACAGAAGGAGAGGGGGCAATCGAAGGCAGCTCGTCTTTGGCAGTGCAGTTTGGGCTGTGAGCTAGAGATATCTTCACCTGCCTGTGACGGGAGATACAGCTGGAAATCCATGGTCCAGCTTTGCCAGGAAGTGCTCAGATCGTCTGGCAAGGACGGCAGCTCCTTAGGACACGTGTGTTTAAAAATGCCCTCGCAAAAGCTGCGTGTTCCTTGCGGGGCATTTGGAAGCGGCCTGGTTGGTCACCTGCCTCCAACTGTGTCCGTGGGTGCGCAGAGTGGGTATTGGTGCCTCGCGCGGTGCCCCAGCTGCACACGGCTGCCCGCTCAGCACCTGCCCCGCAGGGAGCTGCTGCAAGGCCCTCTGCTCTGGGGGGCTTTGTTCTTTGGGGGTGTGTGTGTCTGTGCTTTTGTTTTTGTTTTGCTTTAATAACACGGTTCCCAACAGGGGACAGTGCTGCTCTATTTAAGATGCTTGTCATTTTTAAGAAACTTTTCTGAACTTGTCATCCTAAGAGCTATATTGTGCAGCAGCAGGCGGCCTCCATAAATCACTGATTTCTTTTTCTTCTCTTTCCTTTCCTTTCTCTCTTGCGCTCTCTTTATTCCAAGCCTGCGGATTTGGACGCCTGGGTAAGCTCTCTTTTTGTCTGGATCTTGCTTATTCTAAGTGTCATGTTGTTACTGCGCGCGTACAGATTGTTATTGCTGAGCACAGATGCAGGATTTTATTTTCTGTCATTACATTTTAAAAGGTGTTCAGCTAGAAAATTGCATATTATTTCCTCCATAAAGATTTTCACTGGTTCCTTTTGTGTAGCTTACAGCTGCTGAAACCAAACATGATCTGGTGATGTGTGTAGCTGGCTAAGAGAGCAGCAGGCGCCAGAGGAAATGCAGGTTACACCAGGGCTCTTGTTGGAGGCCACGAGACTGCACGAGGGGTTAAAAGAAAACGAGAACAGTCTCCTGCCCTCGGCAGAATGAGGGAAAGGACAAAAAGCGGATGATTTTGTAGGTCTCACGTGTCTGGAATAGTGGCTGCAGCCAACCCCACGTTGTCGATGGTGATGTTATTGCTGATGCAAGTGAAGGTTGAGTCAGTGCCCCCCATGGCTGCTTGGCTCGTGCAGCCTCCCTGTAAAGTTTGGCTGCTCAGTTTTAGGCTCGATGTGCTGGAGCTGCTGCTTAGTGCTCCGTGTTGGCCTTTCAGCTGTGCCGCTCCCGCTAGGCTTGGTCAGGGACACGCCGACTAGCTAATTTTGGAGCTAGTTCTGGTCTTCAGTGCACTGCTGTCAGTTTCTTCTACTAGTCCTGAAGCTTTTAATAGCATTTGTTTTCCCCTGCCACCTAGACTGCTACCAGGATTGGAAAGTGGGAAAGCCTGAGGTAGATGACACTGCAGTTGTGAAGTGGGGCAAGCTGAGGTACCCGGCCAGAACCTCTGCGCTCTGCTACTGGAGATGCTGCTGGAGACCTTGGGGGGAAGCTGCTCTCAGCAAAGACAGGATGGTGCAGAAACAGGGCATTTGGCAGACTTAAATATCCTTCCTTTTTCCTTTCAGCTTATTTCCCTGGATTGCCTCTGACCCATTTGCTTTTCTAGGTATCATTTCACTGTCTTTCCTGTGGCTGGTGAACGTGTTTTGCCAATAAGATATTTTTGGAATCCTCTTGCCAAGTGCTGTGACTTGCCTTTGGGAAGCTCTGCATAGATTCTGATACGGACCTTTCCTTGTAGCTCTTTTTACCCTTTGCAGGGAAGGAGCAGGTTTTCTTGTCCCCAGCAGACTCTGTTGCATGCCCTCTGCTAACCCCAGGAAGCATTAGCCTGTGGGCGGCCATCAGGCTCTGCTATCGTTGCCCTTCCTTCCTGGGTGCCACTTCCCTGGTGTCGCTTGACCCTGCTGAGGAGCCGCTGCTTAGCAGATTTCCTCCTCGGTTTTCATGCTTAACAAAGCACTGAGAAGAGACTGTGGTTTAAAGCAGTAGAAATCCAGTGATGATATTTCATGGAGGGGGAAAATTCAGAGCTGATCTGTGAATGGGTGCAGCAAGAGGGGAACGTGCTTCTAGAAGAGCAAACACAGACTCCATTGCTAAAGCGCAGCACCCTGGGTTGGGGCTAGGGTATGGCTAGGAGTAGATTTTGCTTTGTTCATGGACAATGAAGCAATATTATTTTGTTACCACAGTTAAGTTTCAATTTTTTTTTTAAATTTTGGCCTATCTGTTGTCTAGCTGGAATTGTTCTGTTCTAAACTTAGGAATTATGAATTATGGTCAACATTGAAGTGCTATTGCAGCACTTACACTGGCTTCTAAAGGGGGAGGAGGAGGCAGGAACAGCCCGTGACTGTGCCCAAGCTCTTGGTCATGATCCAAAGCAGCATCTAAATAACCTGGAAAAAAAATGGGTTGTGGAAAAAAGTGTAAAGATAAAAAGTATCTTTAAAGATAAGAGGAAATGGAAAAAAAAGAGGAAATGGAAAGACATCCCCCCCCTCCCGTCTGTGCCCCCGTGGGCATGGAGCCAAAGCAGCGCTCCAGCAAGATGCCTTTGCTGTTGTCTCATAAGCAGGCAGTGCTTCTAGCTCCTGGTGCCCGCAGAGAGTTTTTGAGCATTTTAAAGTATGTCTTATACCCCTTTCCTTGTACAGAGAGGAAATTTCCTATTGCAGATAGTCTTTTGCAAATACTTGCATGTTCTATATATGCTCTTTGTTTTTTTTCAATATATAAAATGGCATATTATACATATAAAGAAAAATATCCCAAGTTTTGGGTTTGGTCACGTTCCATGTCTAAGTCCTGTCCATCTCCCTGTTTTGCCTCTCTGTCTGCCTCGTGCTCTCTGCCGCATGTTTTTCTCTTCAGTTTCTCAGCTGTCATCTCTACGCTTTGGTCATCTTGTGCATGATGTGTCCAAGCTCAGATGTAGCTTCTCCAGTATGGATGTGAAGTCTGATAATGTCATTTTCTATTTTTTCATCTTTTGTTTTGTTTTTCCTCAAAACAGTTCGTTGTTATAGTGTGTTTCTGCTGCATCCATTCCCTAGTCCTAAAGGCCACGGTGTGAAGTTTGTCTGATGCTTTTGTTTGCCACCTGCAGCCTCCGTCCCCTGTGAAACTGCAGCCATCTCCATGGCAGCCGCTTCTGTCTGGGACATCACAGGCTTCTGCCTTTAGACAGGGAATAAGCAGCAGGACTGGAGCAACTCTTAATAAATATCCTGTATTCATATGAAATTTCCCTTGTTGCCTAACCCAGTTTGGAACAGTGAATATTTCAAAATGACACATGCTCTGACTGTACCATTCATACTTCAAACATCATCATAAAATGTCCCAAAGTTTTGAATAAAAACAGCTGGTGGGGCTGGAGGGAAACAGAAAGCAACTTTCAAGTAGATCTGTCACTAAGCAGAACATCGCTTCAGCGGGCTGAAGCTGCAGCGCTCTAAAACAAGCAAGGCAGAGAAAATACGTCTGAGATGTGCAATTTAATGGTGATAATGTGGGAGACCGTTTTTTGAAAGAGTTGTATTGAAGGCAAGATGAGCGTGTGCCATAATCTGCAGCTGGGAGATCTGCGTTTGGCTCCTGCTCGATGTGGGTTTGCTGGTCAGACACTTCAGGTGTCTTCGTCTGGGGCAGGATGCATCGCATGGAGGCATCTTCTCCTTGAGGTGTCCTGGTCCCACTCGGAGCTTGACACACCTCTAATGGCTCTGCACCTCAGCAGCCCATCCGAGAGATCGGGCGTTTGTGCTGCCCTCCCTTGGGAGGGTGGTACATGGATAAATTGGGTGAAGTTCTTACGGATGCAGAGATGGATGTGTGAATCCATATCTAGCCAGAAGCAGATCCAAATGCTCCTGCATGATAGGGTTGCTGCACGTGCTATTTTTGTGTTCCAGGAATAGTTCTCCACTCCAGGCCAGTGGCCCTCCTGTGTAATTCCTTGCTTAAATTAAGCAGAAACATTTTTCTAAGTGATAATCTTTTGGCCGTTCCTGTACTGCACTTTCACCTGGATCACCTTCTATGGGGGTTGTGCAGAGAGAGATCAGTATTGCTGCCCTTCTTTTGTGCATACATACATATGTGTGTATATACGTGTATATATATATATATATATTTTTTTCCCCTTAAGGGAACGCAAGACACGAGTTTGACCTGATTTTATGGGTGTTATGCAGAAAACTAGTAGGAGAATCGAGGTGCTTTGGTTTCCCACTAGGCCACGCTGCCACCTTCTGCTGGTTATATTTTTGTTGAGATTTGCTTAGGTGCCCTCCTCTTCCTGGGTATTGGACACCTCATCACGCCCTGTGCTGTCCTGTTTCAGCCCATTTGCAGACCAGAAAACATACAGCAGCTTTAGTCAAACTGAAGCTGGATATTTTGCCTTTAATCAAATGTCTTTGGGAGTAAAAGGATGTAGATCGGGGGTCTGTGCTTATGCTTTAACCTGGCCATGTTGACTGGGATGGTGAACAGAGGAATGAAAAACCTTCCCTTTTCACTCGGCTCCCAGGTTTCGTGCACTTTGAATCTATTTGCTTACTCATCAAGCATCCCTGGCCGCCTAGCTTAATCTTTTCTGCTTAGCCCTATTATACCAGCATATTTCCATTAGTAGGAGAGTAGAAAGAAGGAAATGTGCAGCAACTTACTTTCAGATGTAATTTTTCTCATTAACAATGGCTGATGGCCATAAAATGGCAGGTCTGAGCCTACAGGGATGTCTCTGTCCCAGCTGCTTAATCATATTGGACCAGCATTTCTATGATTGTACCAACATCATTAAGACTTAAAAGCAGTGCTACCGCAGTGCTGCGGGTTAGAAGGGTTTGTGCTCGTGTTAAGCAGGCTGGTCGGGCTGGTGTTGCAAGGTCTTGTGTGAGCTTTAAAGAGAAGTCTATTTTAGTTGCATCAATGCCGTATTTACTTAATGCTAGAGCAGTTTGGGGGTGGGGATGATTTGGGGATGGGAATGCAGTGAAATGCTGCCAGTTGTAAAGAGCTGAAAGGGAAAACACTGTTGCTGTAGCCACAGAAACTATATATATATTTTTCCTTGAGTACTGTCTAGCTGATGAACTACTTCACGCAAGTGTTTGCCTACCAGGTTTGCTGTTTGGGAAGTGTCAAGCTTGTACTTCAGCCAGAAGAAAAGGGAGGTTTTCTTGTTCCCTCTCCACCCCAGTTTGGGCAGCACTGCCCCGGGGGTGCTGAGGGTGTTCGCCCAGCAAGTGTGCAGGTCGTCACTGTGCTCCAAAGTACGGGCACAAAAGCACATAACACTTTCAGTGAGAATACATCTCTATATTGTAATACAGACCTACATCTGAGATTGACCTCGTGGTTACAGGGAATGTATGAAATCTGTAGGAGCCTTTTGACCCTCCAAGAGGCAAGTGCTTTTGAAGAGAGCGCTTGGGGTTGCGTTTAAGGTACCATAAGCTTGGATAGCGCACAGCTCTGAAGGAGGCACTAGGGAGGTCCAGAACGGTCATCTTCCCAGCACTAGATTTTTTTTTTTAAATTTTAGCAACAAGAAATAAAATGAGGTAATGAGTTTAAGTATGATACTAATTAGAATAATTTAGACTTGTGGGAATAGTCCAAGATGAACCAAAGTACTGAAGATTTGAAGCTCTAGTAGAGAAATCCCACATACCAGCCTGGAACAACCCGGATTTTGAGAGTTCCTTCCATTGTGCATCCTGTCTTTCCCCGCCTTTACACCTTTCATTTCTTTTTTTCACTGAAGCCCTGTCCTGGTTTTCTTCCCAGGCTGTGGAGCTGCAGGGCAGGGAGGCAGAACTGAAGCGACAAGAAGCCTTCTATAAGGAGCAGCTGGCCCGCATCGAGAGGAAGGTGAGAGCAAGTTCTCCTGCATTTGTGGCCTCTGAAAGCCCATGGGACTGCACACACATTCGAGTGGATCCTCCTTGTTATTTATCCTTCCCCTGCCTTTACATAGTTACATGAAAAAGCTGTATGAACCAACTATTTTAAACAATGCACACTTTAAAAATAGGTGGTTTTAATTGGGTAGCTTAAAAGAAAACTTTATCACCATGGAGTTTAGGTGAAAGCTAAGTTTGCCTTGTTTTTTTATTCCTTTTGTTAAAATTCCTGTGCTAAATTTAAAACAAAAGAAAAACATAAACCTTGCTATAAATATGAATTAAAGTTGTATTATTAATTTTTCTCTGGGGAGCCCAACAGTTCAAAGTCTGTAGCTGCAGAGCACAGTCTGCTTCTTGCTGGATAAGCCTTTGAAATGAACGTGATTTAAAGAGACACTGTCAAGCATCTTTTAAGCCTGAAATGACCTTTAAAATCCATTTAGGGATTTGAATCTCTCCCCTAAACGTGGGATTTGCTTCTCTGTTTAATTGTTTACCATGATGAGTTTTTAAAAATTGATGCCATAAAAATAGGAGCAGCCATGCTGTTCCTTATGAACTAATGCGTTTTTCACTTCCTGGCAAAATGAAATAACGTTTTAAGTAGTCTTTATTTTTTAATAAATGTGGAGAATAATCTTCTCCAATTTGAAGCAATTAGACGTACGCAGCTCCCTGTCAGGAGGTCTGATTCGTAGTTGTGTTATATGACTAAAAAGAAAGGAAAAGCTGTGAAAAAGGTGGATCATAAAGAGAGAAATCGGTCAGCTTTCCTACCGACATGAAGCACAATGGTGAATATGGAACACTGGAAAATTACGGGTTAGAAATGCTGAGCAGCTCTTTGTACATCCTGTGCCCCTTTTCGTTCTCTGCTACTGCATGCTTGTCCATGCAGCACTTTTTTCCCCCAAAACTGTTGATGGTAGAACATGCCCATGAGCAATTTCACAGGATATAGTTTTGCAAAACTTAATCCATACATTTCATTAAAAAATAAACTATTAAATCTACCACTCAATGTTGCGTTCAGATTTTAAATTCTATTTCTAGATAATGGGGATTGTTCAGTGAAATTGCAAACAATCTAGCAGCTATCGTTCTAATTATCACAGTTGTCCATATGTTCATACGCAAAGGGAATTTTTGCAATTTCTTGCTCTCACGCTGTGTGCTTCTATTATGTTCTTCTTTCCAGATTTAGTCTCATGAAGCGGAAACCGCAGGGAAAATTTGTATGTGTGTCTGTCCTCTATGGACACTGGGAGCAGTTTGACCAGGCAGCTTTATCCTCCTTTTAAAGTCTTGTATTGAATTTTCTATTTCCCTTTTCACATCCATGTTTCCTGCTACACAGTAACTTTTTCAACTATGTGATGAGTGTTTTAGTGCAGGATCTTCACTCGGGATAAGGTGTCATCTATTCAAATGACAATGCATGGAAGCTTCCTTCTAGTGCTCGTACAATAGCAAGCTGATGACAAGGACAGGTTTTCTTTCCTCTCTTGAAACACTAGATGTTTTCTGACCCTTAAACACTAGCGTTTTGCTGGTAATAACGGATGCCTCCAATGGTTGGTGTAGATTGGAGTGGGAGGCACTGGGAGCTGGAAGGGAGAGGAGAGAAATGTGCTTGAAACAGTGTAATAAAGCTTAATTGTATTAGTTTTGAAAAAGGGTTTCGATCTTCTCCGTGGATAATTTTATTCCTGTAATGGTTGGAAAGATGGGAAACACAGCACCGAACAATCTTTTTTATTAGCTGTTGCTTTTATATAATTCTGCTTTTATTTGTTGAATACACACAGACCTTGACATTTATTTATTTATTTTTTTCTGCCACTGTTCTAAAATCTTCCAACTCGGGCTCTTTATGTATTTCCATATACGTGTGTGTGTGTGTGTATATATATGTGTGTATATACTTGAACGTGTGTATATAATCTCTCTTTATATAAAGATATATGTATGTATGTGTGTAAATATACATATATATGTATATAAAAGGCATCTTTAGGGGTTGAGGAGCTCTGAGGAAGATGTTTGGCTTCCTTGTCTGCTTTCAGATGGGATGGTCACTTGGTGTAGGGTCACTTAGTTGTTTGTCAGCACTGGACTGTAGATAAATTAAAATATTGGCTCATTGTGGAGGTAAAAAGTCTCAATATCTCCTAAGGAACAAGGAATTTCCTCCTCTTTGGTGCCTGTTCATCCCTTTGGTTAGACTTGGTCCCCGTTTCTGCGTGATGACAGGATTTGAAAGCAGAGACTTACAGATTAGCTTTTGAAAGATGCTTCTTTAACTGTTGATGTAAAGAATTAAATACCTTCCTGGTAGGATGCTAAGAATAATTGTGTTACATCTGAGGATCATAATTCTTAGAACATAGTAGCTGCCTCATGGGATCAAACACGAGACTGTCCTATCTCTTCTGAAAGTGGTCAGTTCTCAAAGACTTCAAAGGAAGATAACAAAGAAAGAAAAAGAAGAAGAAAAACTTTCAGAGCACAGCCTTGAAAAGTGTCTTCCTAAGAACTATCAGTCAGAGGCTGCCACATAGCTTCCTGCATGAGAATTTATCTCCTATCAGTGTTTTTGTTCACTGTCATGGAACTTGGGTAACTTTCATCGTCCATCTAAATGTCATAGCCATTTTTTTCTGAAATCTGTTTAGCTCTTTGCCTCAGTATCATGTAGCATTGGGTTCCATAGGTTAACTATAGAAGCATATTTTTTCTTTTTTTTTTCGTTACCACTTTCCAATACTTGTTTTCATTTAATATCTCTGATAGGAAAGGGATAAAAAGAATTGTTTGTTACAGGTTATCTGTAGTCTTCTCCTTGGCTCCCTCTTTTATCTTTCCATTAAGCTAAGCAATCCTCACCTTTTCAGCCTCTGCTTGTGTGAACGATTTTCAGAGGTTTCTCATTCTACTTGTTTGTCTTGGGGCCCTTTTCCCCTTGCTGCTCTGTCTTGGAAATGTATTGACCACAATTGAACTCGGTAGTTCCCTTGAATGCAGCAGATTGTGTGAATACATTATCCCTTTATTTTGTAATCTCTAACAGAGCACTGTAATCTACTGGACAGAGCACACAAGTGGAAGCAGAAAACTTCTCATTTTCTAATAGCTGTTTCTCTTTCGGGAGTTTGAAACAATTACTTAGCCCATCTATCTCCGTTATTCCATCTGTAAGATGGAATAGCTTATAGTGGGAGGGCAAGGTGTTGGGAAACAGTAAAGCTATAAAAATGCTAAAAGCATTTTGCCTTTAGTTTTACATGAGGTGAGCTCTGGGTATACCTTGTTTCAAACAGAGCTTAAACTCACTTTCTCTATCATTCTCTTCTATTAATATTTTCATGGCAAAGGGTGCGTATTTTAATCATTTTCAGTGTTTCAGCAGAAAGATTCATCACTTGTGGGTTCAAGAAGGATGCTCTCTTCTTCCTTCCCGCACCCTCCCCGTGTGGGTAACTTGGCTTTTGCATTTCTTAGGTCTCTGCTAAAGCACTGGAGGAGGCAGGGCTGGGGGCAGCCATCCTTGGCTCTCCAGAGACACTCCTAGTTCCATGCCCTGTTCCTGACTGTCCTGACTAGAGGTGGGTGCCAGGGGCTGCCCAAAAACAGTGCGAGTGCTTGTGACAGCGGCCCCAAATGCTTTCCCAGCCGCTGGCCACTTGGGGCTCCCATAGGTCCTGACATTGCAGAGTGTTTGCTCAGTGGGTTCCTTCTGCATCAGGTTGTCCACTTTTCTCTTGAACTCACTTTGTAGCAGACAGGTCCTCATCTCAGCTATATATTGTTTGAACAGACTTGTCCTTCTGCATGTTTTCAAAGAGATTCCATTAATTTCATTTAGGTCACTTACAGACTTAGTTCATCCTTGCTGTCCATCTTTGAAACTTTTCCACCCTGACTCAATCTTCTTTGAGAAGTAGGGACCAGAACTTCACCAGCAGTGTTCAGGATTTAGGTGAACCAAACATTTATACGGTAGCCTTGCCACTGTAGCCGGAATTGTTCTCTGGTTCTCCGTTTATTCCCTAATAACATGTATATGTCTCTCATCTTCCGTGTATTTGTCCATCATTTTCCCTGCTTTCTGCTAGTTGCTCATCATGTTGGGCAGGGAAGTTGGTTTCTCAGGTTGCTTGCAACCTGAGAAACCTGCTCTGTATTGGGATGTTGTGTTGGTAATCAGAAATTCCCGGGAAATAGGTCTTCTCTAAGGAGGAATCCTGGATGGGACCTCAGCAGCTTCTTGAGTTGGAAGCAGTGCATTGAGCACAAGACTAAGTAATTATGCATCTTATTTGTGTAATTCTGTGTATGTATATGGCTTTTTTCTTTTTTTTTTTTTTTTTTTCTCTCTATCACAAAAAGTAGGTCTCGGCTTAACTGATGTTAAGCACGTTTTGTACTCCTGTATTTATCCAGGTAGACAGAATGAGAGTTGGGCCTGAGCTTTTGCAAGAAAACTATAGAAACACAATTTGAAAAGCTTAAGCTGGTGCTCTGTGTTGTAGCGAGGGGAAGAAGAGAGGGAGCTGGGTACTGTAGAACAGTTAACATAGGTACTGTTCAGAGCTGGAATTTGTATTAAGTTATTTGTATTCTGTATGTGTGTCCTGCCTCCTCCAAATAGGAGGAACTTCCTTGCTGAAGTATCATAAGGAAGAAATGCAGCCTCTCCTGCACTCCTTCAGATACCAGTGGATTTCACATAGCGTATAAGTTGTCTGCTTTCTCTCAAGTAAATATTTGCTTGATTCCTCCTGCTGTTTGACCTCTTTTCTTTGATCTAACCTGACAAAGGTTAAGGGCAGTGCTACAGTATAGCAAAATATGGATAGCTCATTGAAAAAGGGTAAAAAGCAGCAGAGAGGCTGAAGGTAATCTTGGCAGCTGAAGTGAAACTCCTTGCTATAGATTGATTCTTTTCTTTGTTTGGATTTTCCT